GCAAACAAGCTATTATACTTCCTGCTCATTCCAAACATCTTGCTACCTTTGTTCCCAAAGAAAAGGAAAAGAGAGAAAAGGAGAGATGGATGGAGGGGGGAAGAGTGAGCAAGGGAGAAGGAGAATAACACATTGTACACGTTCCTCATTTTCCAGTAAAAATACCCATGACCTGAAAAATCTTTGGATATCAGGTGTTGTGGTTGGGTGGAAGACCAAAGTGTACAGAAAAAGAGTATAGTGCCAGAAGACAGCGCAGCACAGAAAAACACACCCTGTTCCAAAGCACAGCAGCCCCGAGCAGCCCGAGGCCTGGATGGGCAGACGTGAGCCACACCTACGATGCTCCTAGGACCAGAGGGAAGAGAGAAGGAGGTCCCCTGGGCTTTGAAGTCCATGTTTAACCATATCCAACCTCCGCTGCACATCAGAAATGCCCACAGTGCCGTTCTAAAGACCGGGTAGATGTACAGTTTCCTCACCACAGTTTCCACACACAGCCCTCTTATATCTAGGTCATCATCATTTAAGTTGCCTCAGACGTGCTCTTGTAGAATATTTTATTTAATATCCGTGAAGACCACAAAGGCTTTAAATATCAGTTCACTCTCACAAAGTAGCCACAGCTCAAAAGTTGCTCCTTTTAACATGGCATCCAAGTGGCATGCTTCCCTGAGATCTGCCTGTTCACTCAACATTTTTTTCTTTCACCTTGGAATTCTATGAATAGTTGGGCAATTTTCTTAGAGTTAATGCAAAGGGAAGATTTTTAAACCTTTCCTTTAATTTGTTTTACAATGTGAAAATCTCTTCCAAGAAAGTTTGTTTGCACTAAAAGTCAGCAGGAAAAAAATTCTTATAAGGATATTTTCAGAAATGCTTGAATTCCATCTATCTATCTATCTATCTATCTATCTATCTATCTATCTATCTATATCATCTATCTATATCTATCTATCTATCTATCTATCTATCTATCTATCTATCTATCTAATCTACCTATCTATAATTCAGAGGGATATTGAACCCAGGGCCTTATGTATGAGCCTCTGGTACTGCAAGTTATTGTTAAAAATACCCATTTCTAAGATATTTTTACTTTCTCTGAATAATGTGTACATACATAGGAATTAAGTATTCTTTCGTGTCCCCTACTCTGAATTTTGAGATTGTTTTTGTTTTCCTAAGTGTAACCCACAGAATAAATCTGGCTAAATATTTTAATTTTGCTTGATTCCAAAGCTTGTTTTCTTTATTCTCTTAAGATTTGGACCAATTCTTTCCAGTATCCAAGTCTAACTACATCGATCATAGGGCTTCGTAGCCTCTTTCCTCCTCTCTCTGCCATTTGACACGAAGCTGCCTCTCTGACACAAAGATCATTGTGTACCTGTGTGCTGTATACACATTAGTGACTCTGCTTCTCACTTACTGCCTTTAATTGACTCCCCACAACTGCTACTCACTAATAAATAGACCATTTTCCTACAGCTTTCCCCCATTAGCTTCATCTTTAGTCACCTGTGACATATTTTACAGAGATAGCACTTGATTCTTACTTGGTGGTTCAGAAGGTATCACAGGACATTCTTGGTCCAAGCACTATAGTGCTAGTTCACTAAAGTGGCCATTTATACATTTTTTGACTGACAGCATTTTCAGATTACTGCTCATTCTGAATTTTCAGTCTCTAGCTCTGACTATAGTAATTGACCCTAAACTCAAGATCTTCACATAAAACATCACTTTTACTTCTCTCATTCCTTTATCCTAGAAGTGTGCAGTTCTCCATAGGGGAAAAGTCTGAAACTGCAATGCTGCATAGTCGTGAAAACTGTTTGTGATACTGTTTAGGAAGACATCCTTTCTTTTATTTTGCAGGAGCAGACAGAGAAAGAGCATAGGATTTGACCTTGAGTTCAATTAAGAATGAGGAATATGGACCCTGATACATTTGAGCCTCTGTAGCCATTAAATAATATTATGCTTAGTATAATCACAGCCCTGTAAAAGTTCTGACTTTTATGGGGTAATTTCCCTCCACCTTCTAGTTCAGCACACTTTCCCAGTTGGTAGCTTCTCTGCTTTGAGGGCAGTGTTTAAGTCACAGCTCTGAAAACATAGTTCTGCTCTGTTGACTGCAGAGTATAGAGGTCAAGTAGAATTTTGGCACATTGTTATGATCCCTTCTCTTCACCAAACAAACTTTAGTACACACACACATACTTTGTAATAAACATTACACACAAGTATTGATGGGATAGTCTCTGAAGGACTACCAAATGCACCACGAATAAGGAAAACATCCTAATGATTCTTTCAAGCATGAATATATGTAATTCTAGTTGAACAATCTTTCTATTTAGTCTCCACAAGTTTTGATGACATACCACAATAGGCTGTTTATCAGCAACTTAAAAAATGCTTAATTCATAATTAAACCCATTTTATAAATTGGTACTGGGTGGAATATGGCCACACTGCCCAAGAAAGTTTGGTGGATGATAAATAACACATTTTCCTCACCCATAATGATAAATCTCAAAATGTGAATACTTTGAGTTAACACAATAATCTGATCTAAAAATCTTAGTTTAAGATATCTTTTCCAGCGTTACTGAACAAACAAAAGACCTAACTAAGTTAAGGAAATCCATTTAGATATCAGAATCATGCTCATATAGGAACTGCATCCCTGAGCATAGAAAAGCCTGGTGCTCAAAAGACTCTGCACTGCATGGATCCCATGTGTTTCTGAGGGAAGTTTTGTAGCCAATTCTTATTTTATTCTTTTTGTTTAAAAACTTCTACTGTACATCTTAGTATTATTGTCCTTTCAGTAAAAAAAAGAAACAATTGAGACTAAGTAATGGATATTTCTCAAGAACTCTAAGACTCAGTATATCTTAATACTAAATAATGTAATCTTTGATTTGTCTTTTGACTTTGTCCATTTAGAATTACTAAGAACTCTAGTTTTCAACTGCAACTTGAAAACCCTTTTCATGTTGGGTAAAAATCTTGAAATAAAATAATAATATATCAGGAATGCTTAGGATTGTGCCAGACACTTTACATATATTCTATTTAATTTTTATAGCTAAAAGAATGGCATATTATTTAACCTAGCTGTAGATGTCTGAGACCATACCTGAAACAATGTACAGACCAAGTCCCCATTTTCTATTTACTTAAGAGCCAGTATTGTTTTTTATTCTATCCTGCATTCTAACTCTGAAGGATGCTCAGAACTTTGAGGGAAAAACTAACTCGATGAATTAAGTTATTATATGTTTTCTGAAGCAATTACTACTTTAGCAAGCTATGACATAAGGAAACCTTGGAGACTATCTTTAAAGTGATAAGACAAGTCAGGTTAATGAAGTGGAAGGCAGTTCATGGGTTGCAAATAGTTGAAGAATAATGTGTGCAGTGTTATGAGCTATAGCACCAGAAGCAACATACACACATATGTTTGCATGTGCTTAGAAATATGTCTGAGAGGATACATAAAAGAATGGTAGTTCTTCTGTTCAGCAAGCTAAGACTTGGGGGAAATTTCACTTTTTAATGTATATTCATCACTGCAGCTTACATATTTTGTGTGCAGTTGCATGTATTACATTCACAATTAAAAATGATCGAATGAATTAGTTGAATAGTTTTCAGGCATTATTCATCCTAAATAGTGACTCAGGTTATTAAGCAACTTTAATCTCACAAAAAAACAACTGCAGTTTTGGTTCACTGGTCTGTGAGCAGTGTACTGACTCTGTGCATGTAGAGCAAGAGCCCAAACGTCACTACGTATATCATACTGTGCCTTACTGAATGTCAACAGAAGGCAATAACTGTAATTTCAGACGCAGCATGGCCAAAATAGAGCTTTCAAACCTGCTCTCACCAATCCTCCACCAGGTTTGCCCATCTGTGCATGTGGCACTATCATTTCTCAACTTGCCTAAGCAGAAACCCAAAGTGACACCCATGGTTTCTCCTTCCTTTCAACACTATACCATGAACAACAGCAAACCCAACCCAGCCCATTTGTAAGATTTCTTGACTAATTTCTCTCTAAAGCAGTGGTTCTCAACCGTGATGACCCCCAATCATAAAATTATTTTTGCTGCTACATCGTAACTGCAATTTTGCTAATGTTGTGAATCATAATGTAAATATCTGTGTTTTCCAGTGGCTGTAGATGACTCCTATGAAAAAGTCTTTGACCTCTGAAGGGTTGCAACCCACAGGTTGAGAACCACTGTTCTAAATTCTTCTCCCAAGTTGCCATGCTCTCCTGCCTAGAGATCCAAGCTAATGGCATTCCTGCTTTCATGTTTGCAGTTTACTCAGCAGTCAGGCAATCTTACAGTCCCTCAGCTGAGCCTCTTCAGTGGCTTCTCCTTGCACTTAGCATGGAAATGTGAGAAGACTTCTGTTCCTGAGCCCACATTCCTTACTCACTCAATGTTAGCCATTCTCATTTGCTTTCTGCTTTTCATGGGGATCATTTGGGCCTCTGGAGCCTTCCCTCCACCCTCCCTTTCCTGGGATACTCCTCTCTAACTGGCTACATGAATAGCACCTTATCAAAGTGGAATGCAGAGAGTGTAAGTCGTATAAGGTTGGTCATTGGATTTGATACCTGGTGGCCCTATATTTTAATGCCTGTCTGAATCATTTCATGTCTATCCCATGATGTTAGATAGTGAAAGTCAACATGGTCCATCATGGGGCCTGACAATGGTTCTCATAGTAAGCAAACAATTTCATAGTAAAAAAACAAAAATCCAAGAAAAATAATAGGTCTCAGAAGTTCCCATTTTCAGGTTCTTCCTGCTATCTTGAGTCTGTTTTCAGGCTCTGCAGTAAGATTGAGGTGAATGAGAAAGATCTACGATAGACACATCGGGAAACCTTTGGCTTAAAGGTATAAAGTTAAATGTTCTTCATGTCAGTAACAACTACAATACAACATACTCAAAACCCACATAACTTACTTAGTCAGATGTCCAAAGAGGATTTTCATGGTGTCATGATTTGGTGGAGGCAGATTTTTTACCAGAGACTTTATAGTTTCAATTCTTGCATTGTTGTCTTGCTTTTCTGAAACAAAATTGAAAAGAAAGATTAGAAAAGGCAGACATTCCATAGGTGGTATATGAGAGGGTTTCTAAGGAGATTTTTAGATTATGACCTAGTAACTATAGTACTGATCCCAACTGGCTTGTAGAGAGTTTCTTGATTTGACTCTAAATTAGACTATACTCACATCAAAACAGTAACAGGGTGATTTTGGTCCAATTTTTGGTGATAAGATATTGAAATGAATTTTTAATATATTTTTATCTCAAGTCATGGGGTGAATAACACTTTCCAAGATGTCCATGTCGTTTAATCTTTTGCAAGAATCTTTGAAGGTGTGATCAGGTTAGGAACTGACACAGGGAGACCTTTCTAGATTGCCTGGTGGGTCATGTGATCTCTCAGGTTTATATCACAGGCAGTCAGGAAAATAATAGAGAATAGGTGATATGACAATGAGATCGGAGAAGAGCTATCTGATACAGGAGAAGCCGACTAAGGCTGGAAAAGGCATAGACACAGAACCTGTGGAGGAAACAGATCTGTCAATATTTAGAGTTATGTTCAGTGGGGGTGATGGCAGATTTCTAACCTTCAAGATAGCAAGTTCATGTTCTTTGAAGCCACATGAACCGTGTAAGACACACGGTGTGATTTAATTATAAATATTTTTTAATAATTTCTTTGCCATTTTACTCTCACACATTTTGATTTTGCTGATAAAATAAGAGCATTAAAAGTCTCTCAAAAGTCAGCAAGTATCAAACCCGGTAACCTGCATGATTAAAACAGGTAGTGTTCAAAACCGTATACCTCATTTATTGCTCCCCTCATGCTATTCCTGTCAGAGAGAGGTGGTACATGGAAAACGAATCTAGCTCCTTCGTACAAGTGTTGTTTTAGCCAGGGTCTTCCACTGTAGATGCAAATATCTACTCCCCTTCATCACCTCCTTCACATTGAACTACATGTCACCCCTGCCAATATGTTCTCTTTCATTTCCAATACAGTGATCCTCAGAATTCCAAAGAACTCTTCACTTGGTTCATGATGTATGGGAAAGTAGTACATGAGATGGATACCCACACAGTGTCCATTTTCTTCTTCCTTGGCATGATAATACCACTGTGAATAGAAAAGTAACATGTCTGGTCAAAGGGAGCCTTTCGCAACCTCCTCTGTCAATGGGGTGGCTATGTGACCAGGTCTGGCTAATGAGAGTCAAAGTTATGTGGGAGCTCTGAAGCGGTTATATGCTGATTTCATTTTTGGGCCTTTTAACCTTTCCTCTTTCTACATCGTAGAATGTCTTTACTGTGAGATGAGTTTGAGAACTGAGGCTATAATCGTGGGACACATGTTAGAAGGAGTGGCTTTGTAGAACAGCAAGACCTGGGTTCCTTTGACATGTGAAAATGATCCCTTTTGTACTAAAGTCTTTGCAGATGGGTCACTGATACCAAAGCAAGTAGTTCCTATAAATATGTCCTTCCAAAACCCTAATGCATAATGTGTTGTTAATAGATACATGGATTTTATAGGCTAAGGAAGAGTCAGTTTAGAAGCTGGAAGTTTCTTGTGTCATGTTGCAAAAGAAACATATTATAAGGTGTCATAAGAGAATGTCCTGCTGAAGATAGTATTTGCCTAAAGTGGAGTGAAGGCAGTTTTCCTAGTAGTGCCCTATTTAGAAGCTCTAGTCTTCCCTCTTAAAACCACAAAGGTCTATAAATAATGCCTCCCACAGCCTAAGCTTTCAGAATTGAAATTATTCTTAGAAGATTTCCAACAGTACACTGCTTGGATCACCACTCATAAAGGCAACAAAGGGGAAAAAGAAAGAGGGGAAAAAAGCAGTTGCCACATCTCTTTCTAGAGTAGTCCCTCTGTCCTGTAATGTTTGTAGGAAACAGGTGCTTCATGGAGCCCTTAGTAATATGAAATCATGTTCAATGAAGTCAAGAAAAATGGTGGGGAATTTGGTTTAGCTACCCAGATAAAACTTGCTAGGCATGCTGTATGCTTTGTAGTTAACCTTGTACAGTCACCTGTGCAACACTTAAGGCATTTTCATTGCACAAATGCCTTTCAATTCTCCATTTAACTGCATTTTCCTTCGAAGCAAAGTGACTTCTATACTGGTAGATAATGGATTAACTGAACAAGAAATGAATTAGTGAATGAAAGACACGAGGACATGAGCATGGGTTAGGATGGACAGGTCTTACTTTAAATTCTGTAATAGCTTCTTAATAGCTGTGCTGACTAGTTTTATGTCAACTTGACACAAGTTCAGGTCATCAGAGAGGAGGGACTCTTAACTGAGAAAAATGCTTCCATAAGACTGGGCTCTAGGCAAGCCTGCAGGACATTTCTTAATTAGTGATTGATGCAGGATGGCCCTGCTCATGGTGAATGGTGCCATGTCTAGGCTGGAAGTCCTGGGTTCTGTAAGAAAGCAGGCTGGCCAGGTCATGAGGATCAAGCCAGTAATCAGCCTCTGCCTCAGCTCCTGCCTCCAGGTTCCTTTCCTGTTTGGGTTCCCACTCTAACTTCCTTTGATGATGAATTGTGGTGTGGAAGCAGAAGCCAAATCAACCCTTTCTGCCCCAGATTGCTTTGGTCATGGTGTTTCATCACAGCAATAGTAACCCTAACTAGGATATTAGCTGTATGGTCATGTACACGCTTCTTATTCTCTTTGACTAGCATCTAAAAGAAGAGTTTATGGAATAAATTATAATATTTAACATAGTTTGCACAAACACTAATGAAACTAAGTACCCTATAAAATGCTCATCTTCCAACCAAAACTATTTTGAGGTTCATTCTGGGTAGTTCACCCACTTAAAGCACATAGCAATTGTCTCCTTGCAGTAACCATTAAAATGTAGTTACTATTTTTTAAAGTGTGTGTGTGTGTGTGTGTGTATGTGTGTGTATGTGATGTACACTTGAGAGTGTTGGTTCTTGTAGAGTCCAGCAGAGAGCATCAGGTCCCCTGGAGCAGGAGTTACAAGCTATTTGATCTGCCTGATACTGATGCTGGGAAGTACCACAGAGTCAGATCCTGTGCAGTACCACAGAGTCATCTCTCTACTCCTAGTTATTGATACTTGAGTTGAGTTGTTGACAGTTGGTGAACATGCAGCTCTTCTCCTAGTGAGGAATTAAGTAACATGCTAAATATTTTTGTGATGGCCTAAAAATTGATCTGATTGGAGAGTAGTTATATATAATAAAGTTTATAAGCTATATGGTTATGGCTATAAAACATTTTTTGGCTATAAAACATTTTACATTAAGAGTGTTTTATAAGGTTCCTTCTTTTTCTACTTACACATATATACTTGAGGAATCAGACAATTGGATAGTTATGTAGATATTTGAGACTAAGTTTTGCTGAGGGAAAAAACACAATGAACTAAAGAAGACTGAAATATGAATGAGGAATAACTAGTTTTCCTGACAACATATTCATAAAATCCTTTTGAAGTGTTATAAGAAAACAATGTTTTCCCAATTAAATCAATACCATATAGCCTCTTCATGGTACATAAATAATATAAACATGTCTAAGTGGGGAAGCATCAAAAACTACAATGTATACATTAAAATTAAAAGGACACTTTTTCAGTCTTGTTTATGGTGTGTCATGTTAGGATCTCAGATCAGTGTCCATAAGCTAGGAGTGGTTTCTGAGGTATGACACATACAACATACTGAGACCCTGGCAACAGTCTTCAATTGTGTCTGTGAGCACACAAATAACAGGGTTTTCTTCTTTTTCTTTCTTAGTATATAGTTTCTCTTAAGTGCGAAGTACTCAGAATCTGAGACTATGATGTTGTTGACATTCCCCTTTTAAGGTTAAGATTGGAGAAAGTAAAGGAACATTTTCTACACAGAGAACTGAAGACCTCTTAGTGGAACTGTATACCGAGAATCATAAACTCTTTTTGGAAATGAACTCTTCTGCCTGTACTTAATTCTGCTTTTATTCTAGAGCCACTGAATTTTAGATTCACCCGATTTTTTTCAGTCATCTTTATTTAGTCCCTCATCTCCAACTAGTGAGTGCTTCCAGCCTGGAAACTCAAACTTTCAACTGCTCATATGACATTTATGGATTCATTTTCACCATACAACAGTGATTCTAAATAATTTTTCTATCAACTCCTGACTTGCTAGTCCCCATCTTCTTAAACTCTAACAAACTAGAGCTGTAAATCAGCTTCTTCAAATACATTTCTATGCTTTATGGAGAAGTAACATCTTTCATGATGAGACATAGGCTTTAATGTTATGATAAGAGTGTGGCTTTGTGTTCATCTTAGTAATGGTTCTTAGGGCATTTTTTAAAATATGGTTTATGAAAGTTACATTTGCATTTATCTGCATGAAATGTCACTACTGAACCATATTTACAATCAAGTGCTTTATAGAAGAGATAAGATAAAGTTATACGATGATGGAAAGAGTTTGGCACAGTAAAGAACCTTGGGCTGGATGACCGCTAGTCACTTTTTGACCTTAACATCTACAGTCTTATTTTTCTTAACTTATTTATAGATGCATATTAAATCACATTTCTAAATAGATTCTGTTACATTATATAGGTTCAGGGAAAGAAAGTCTTGATTCTACCAGTACATAAGTCACAGAAGTCTTATTTATCTGACTGTCTATAATTCTTTAAAATGGCTGTATCCCTGTATGTTGAAGAGGTCACTGCACACAGCTGTCCTTGTGAAGTGTACTCTGGACAGTAGCACATTTTGTATGAAAGCGAGGTAGCCATTGTATGTCAGACTGTGTTTAGAGTATGGTGATTTTTTTGGTTTCTGATGAGTTATTCATTTTATGCTGTGGTCATTTCAGGATATGGAGAGAGCTGTCCTTGTTTACAGCAATGAGTACCATCAGGTAGCATCCCTTCTGTTTCAGACTCTCCTACTGGTGGAATGTCTTTCCTGGTGGTCTAGTGGTTAGGATTCGGCGCTCTCCTACTGGTGGAACAA